TATAAATAAATAAAATATTAAAAATACTAACAAAAATATTTATCGTTTTTTTTGTCAATTAGGTTACTTCTACTTCAAAAAAACCTGATGACAAATACAGAGATCGTCAAAATCAAGTTAAAACAGCGATAATAAAAAATAAAAAAGATGAACAGAAAAATGAAGGCGTACCAGCCACTGATAATTCTAATACGAGTCCATCTAAAGAAGAGCTTAAACTGATGGTTGAACAACAGCAAAAGCTACTAGCGTCAAGTAAAACTAATCAATTTAATATTTTAATTTGCAACTAGCATGTATGTAATATTGCGATTGTTAAGGTTCGGGATTGAAACACAATAAAAACAGTGACTAATTGGAACTCAAACGTTTATTTTACATTAAACAAAGACTTGAAAATTAAGAGAGCGAACGTTGTACATGAACGTATGAAGTTGAACTGAAGACTGAGCGAAGTGGACAAGTGAGAGGGCGTGTTGATCGCGGGTAACAAAATTAGAAAAGAACAGGGGATGCGCAGAGCGCTCAGAAATAGGCGAGAGACTATAAAAGGCGATTTCCAACACCCTCCCTTAATCAAGGCGTCGGCTGGCATATCGTCGCTGCTGAGATACTGTAGGTCGATGGGTTTCTCCTCCAACGTTTGGCGGATGAAATGATAGCGGATGTCGATGTGTTTAGATCGACTATGGAAGATGGGATTTTAGGTCAACCTGGCCGCTCCTTGGTTGCCGTTTGAGCGATGGACCTTGGCAAGGTTCTCGAAGCCCGACTCCGACAGGAACTTGATCAAACAGATGGACTCATTCACGGCGTCAGCGAGTCCCATGTATTCGGCCTCGGTGGAGGATAGTGCCACCGTACTCTGTTTCCTGCTTTCCCATGAAATGGTGCTCCCGGCCAATGTGAACATGTAGCCGGTGTAAGAACGGCGGTCTAGCAGGCACCCTCCCCAATCGGAGTCGACGAATCCTTGGAGTGTGCTACCAGTCTTTCGGAAGGTGAGTCCCAGGTTGGGTGTGCCCTTCAGATAACGTAGAACCTTTTTCGCCGAACTCCAGTTGGCCTTGGTGTATTTCGAGTTAAACTGGCTCAGGTAACGGCATGTGCGATGTCGGGACGTGTCCCGACGGACAAACACATCAAGGCACCCACGAGGTCGCGATAGGGGTAGCTGTCGTCGTCGTCAACTTTCTGGTCCAGGTCGTTGGTCTGTTTTCCCATCGCCAGTGGTGTGCTGACGGGTTTACAATCCTGCATGTTGAACCGTTGCAGGATGTCCTTGACGTACCCGGATTGGGACAGGCTGATGACAGTTCCGTTCTTGTCCTCCGACTGTTTCACCTCGATTCCAAGACAGAATTTGGCGTCGCCCAAGTCGCGAATGGCAAATTTTCGACCGAGACTTTGTTTGAAGAACTGCAGCTTGTTTGGACAACTGTTCGCCACCAGCAGGTCGTCCACGTACACCAGCACGAACAGATCCTTCGCCTTGTTGAAGTACACGCCGGGTCCGCACTGGAAGGGACGAAACCATGCTTGCGAAGAGTGCTATCCACTTTGATGTGCCACAATCTGCTCGATTGTTTAAGCCCGTAAATGAACTTGTCCAGTTTGCAGACGTGGTCGCCCTGGCGAAGTTGTGACAACATGTGCCTTGCTTTGCGGACAACGTCTGAGGTTCCCTCCTGGTCGACGATCCTCTGCAGCATCTCCTCGAGTAGTTTGGGCTTCTCCATGTAGACTTTGGTGTCCATCTTACCGTTGAGATATGCTGTGGTGACGTCTAGTTGAGCCAACTTCATCGAAGATTCGACGCGGTGAGGGTCCTCAACTAGCTGAGCCTTGCAACTGGTGAAAACGTCTCCTGGTAGTCAATTTCGGGGTGCTGTGAGAAGCCTTGTGCGACGACTCGTGCCTTGCATCTCTCCAGCGATCCGTCGGCGTTGTATTTTGTTTCGCAACACCGTGCGGCAATTGACTACCTTGCCTTGTGGTCGGGGGATCAGCTCCCACGTGTCGTTTGAGACGAGACTTTTGATCTCCGAGTAGATTTCTCGCTTCCACTGTTCTCCGTCGGGACCACTCACTGCTTCGTCGAACGGGATCTCGGACACCAACAGTGCTTTGTCGACGTCCATGGCCTCGCGGAAAACGTCATCCTCAGAGAACTCCTCGTCCGCGCTCTCATCCCCAGAGTGATTCTCCACAGGTGCAACATTTTCTGGATGAGTGTGAGGTGCGCTGGCGGATCGAGGATGATATCCCTTCCTTGGTCGCCCGCGGTTCCCGGTTCTCACGATCCGGGGACGTCCTGGTCCGTTTTTCAAAACGGGCTCTTGTGCATGCATTGCTGGAGGCGTCACTGGCGGGAAGCCACGTAACTCCTCATCGTCAGACACGGGCAGACGAATATCACAAGGATGGGTTGGTTGATTCTGAGCAGGTGGTTCCTCCGGTGCTGGCTGCGGCGCGTTGTTGACGACCAGATCGTAGAACTGATAGTCCTCGGCAGGTGCTTGTGGCTGGTTGTCGTTGTTGAAAACAGGTGCGCGATCGAACTCCTCGTGGAATTTCACGTCCTTCGAGGCGTAAACTTTCCGCTCGTCGGGCATCCGGATCCGGTACGCCTTCGCCTCGCTGGCGTATCCAACCATCACACCGAGTTTTGCCTTAGGGTCCAGTTTGCCTCTTCCTGGTGTTATGTCCAGGAAATACGCCTTGCTGCCGAAGGTCTGAAGATGTGAGATGACCGGTTTGCTGCCGGTCCAGACCTCGAAAGGAGTTTTGTTGCCAAGGGGACCCGAAACGCACCGGTTCCTGGTGTAGTTTGCGGTGCTCACAGCTTCTGCCCAGAAGTCTTGAGTCAACCCAGCTTGGATCAACAAACATCTGGCACCCTCGACTAGCATTCGATTGCGGCGTTCGGCGACTCCATTTTGTTGAGGCGTGTGTGGCACGCTCAGGCGTCGCTGGATCCCGGCATCGGCGAGGTAATTGTCGAATTCTTTTGATTTTCCGCCATCGCCTTGAAGATCTTGAACTTCTCCAGGGCCTCTCCTTTCTGTCGCATGAAGTACACTTCGCCCCAGCCGCTGTGGTCGTCGATAAACGTGACGAAGTAACGTGCACCGTTTAAGGACTGGGTGCGCATGGGGCCGCAGACGTCGAAGTGCACCAGGTCCAGGATTCCAGCGGATCTCTCTTGGCGAGTCTGAAAACGAGAAGACGACAATTTAGCAACAGTACAAACTTTGCAAGGGGAAAGTTTTGTTGTTTCAAATTGTAGGCCAGCGGCTAACTCATGTTTGCTCATAGCAACGAAGCCTCGTTCGTTGAGGTGTCCAAACTGTCTGTGTCATGTGTCAATATCAGGACGTTCGGTGGTCGTGAAGGCGTGAGCGTGTGGCGTGCTCAAAGAAAACAAGTCGCCGTCGCTTCTCGCAGTCAGCTTGACGTCTCCATTTTTGTCCTTCACCACGGCCTGGCTCTTGCTGAACACGACTTCGTGTCCGTTGTTGACGAGCTTGGATATTGACAGGAGGTTGGTTTTCAGCTGGGGCACGAACAAGGTGTTCTCCAACTTGATGACCTTGTTCATGTTGCCGACCTGGACGGCAACCTTGACATCGCCCCTCGCTGCGACCTGAGTGAGACTTCCGTCGGCGAGGTTCAATTCACCTGCAGCTTCGACCAGGCTGACGAAAGCGGTTTTGTCATTGCACATGTGTTATGTGCAACCGGAGTCGAGACACCATCCCGGGGAGGCGTGCACCATGTTCGTACGATCGGTTTTCTCGTTGTCGACCTCTTTCACGAGCCAGGCTTCTTCCTCCACGTTGTTGGCCTTGTCTTTGTTTTTCTCCTTCTCTTTCTTCCAGCAGTCTGCTTCCTTGTAACCGGGCTTCTTGCAGTAGCCGCAATTGAACTTGGGGCGCGGCTTGTGTCCACCTTGGTTTTTGTCCTTGTGGCCGACTCGGCCTTTCGGTTTGTTATAACTGAGTTTCTGTTTTTGGTTCACGTACATGGCTCCGTGTTCTTCGAGTTCCTTGGCGGCTTCGCTGGTTTCGAGGATTTTGTTTTTCAGCACGTCGAGAGATGGCAGCGTGTCTCGAGACTCGATGGCTCGTCTGAAGAGGTCGTAGCTGCTCGGGAGGCTCTGCATGAGCATCAGCGAGATCAGCTTTGGGTCGATCTCCACCTCCATGGCCACAAGTTTATCGACGGTTTCGAAAAACTGCGCCATGTGAACACGAACATTCTCACCTTCTGCCATCTTCTTCTGGAGGAGTGTTCGTAGCAAGGTGGCCATTTGGGCTGGACCTTTAGGTGCATACGTGGCTTCGACTTTGTCCCATACCTCCTTGGACGTTTTGCACCCGCGCACGTGTTTAAGTTGGGATGGGCTAATCGCCAGGAGCAAGTCGGATTTTGCCCTGAGGTCCTCCTCGACCCATTTTTCGTAGGCGGCAATTTCCTGAGCGGTTGGTTCTGCCGAGAGAGTCGGCGCCTTTACCTTTCCGGAAACATAACCCCACATCTTGTTTCGGATCAGCATGGCTTCGGCGTGGATTTTCCATGTGTCGAAGTTGTCGCTTGTCAGCATGGTTATTCTCACTGAACCCACTACATTTTGTTCTGCCATTTTCGTAAATTGCGCGACGGTACCGTGTTTCTAACGCTGGAAAAATTTTGCGCGTTTCCGAGACACTGCGCTGCTGTTTACGATTACAAGACGAACTGTACGTCGGCGTTGGTTCCGGCGCGTTCGTGCACGTTCCAGAAAATTCGCGTCGCGTCTAATGGCCGACGTGTGCCTTTTCTTGGCTTGATTTTCTTGACGAAAAACACTCGCAAAGTCACAGCTGTGGGTTTTTACGGTCTGGGCCCATAACCTGTTAAGTTTAAAGAACGAAGCCGCTAAGTACAAGAGTTGGTTGGTGCGTCCATTATACATATATGAATTTTCACACATTCATTCACAGTCTATGTCTAGAAGAAGAAACAAGGTCAGATAAGCTCCTTTCTAGTTTTCCAAAATTTACCTAGTTTCCAATTTGTGGAAGCACATTTAGTTAGATATTTTAAGAAAAAATAATGGCGTTACAAGAATTAGTTCGCAAAAGAGGGATCATAAAACGCAAATTAACTAGTTTTGCAAGCAAATTGAAAACAAGGATGAATTAACAATTTCTCAATTACGCCTTCGATAAAACGATTTAAGTAGTATTTTGCCGCAATTTTATACTATTAATGAACAAGTGATTTCTGTTTGTGACGATAAAGATTTGGAAGGTCATTATCGAGAACAAGATGCTTTTACGACTAAATATTATGCATTAATTTCAAAAGGAAATATTCATTTAGGTAGCTTATCAAATTCTAATGAACCCGCTGATAGTATAAGTGAAAGATCAGGTACGCACTCAAGTAAGTCTGGCGCACCAGATTTGCAGTCTATCAAACTGCCTACTATTTAGTTGCCGAAATTTAACGGTTCCTATGATAATTGGTTGGAATTTAAAGATTTGTTTGATTCGCTAATTCATAATAATACATTAATAAATAGCGTACAAAAATTCCATTATTTACGAGCTTCGTTATCGGGACCGGCGGAGNACAGAATGTGCGAAAAGTTAGGTTTACCGCTAGAAAAGGCAAATATTTCAATCTCAGGAATAGGAAGAGTATTTTCTAAAATAAACACTAGACGCAAAGTTAGAATTACATCATTACATAGCCAATATGATGTAGGTATTACGTGTTTAGTAATAAAATCAATAAGTGAGGTTTTGCCTAACGAGAAAGTTGATGTTTCACAGTTAGAAATACCTAGTAATATTCCATTAGCAGATCCGTTATTTTATATCCCAAGTTCTATTGATCTTCTTATAGGAGCTAGTCTGTTTTGGGAAATAATCAAAGGGGATAATATTATCAATTTAGAGGGTAGTCAACTTAATTTATACAATTCAAGGTTGGGTTGGTTAGTAACAGGACAATTACCTTGTACACAAAATTTTCTTTGTGCTACGGTAACTAGAGCAAAAGACAACGATAATTTGAATGAACAATTAAAATTATTTTGGGAAGTAGAGAATTGTCCTTCAGATAGTTAATTGACAGAAGAAGAAGAAGAGTGTGAACTACAATTTAAAAAGAATGTTTCTAGAAATTCAGAAGGTCGTTTTGTGGTTAAGTTACCCCTTAAAGAGTCTACATCTAAGTTAGGTAATTCGTATAGCACAGCTTTGAAAAGATTCTTAAAATTAGAGGTAAAATTGGAAAATAGTCCGATAAGGAATCAATATCGCGAATTTATGAATGAGTATAAGACCTTAGGTCATACGAGTAAATTATTAAGACAAGATATATATATTCACGACCGTCCTATTATCTTCCTCATCATGGGATCGTAAAAGAAAATAGTCTCACAACTAAACTGCGATTGGTGTTCAATGCTTTTTCTCCTTTCGATACAGGGTAGTCATTAAATGACATTCAGTTAGTTGGGCCGAAAATACATGGAAATATGTTTTCTATTTTACTACGTTTTAGGCAACAATAAATATGTAGTTTCGAGTGATATGGCGAAAATGTATCGACAAATTTGGTTACATCCAGAACATAAACCATTACACAGAGTACTTTGGAGAGAAACTCCTAATGAAGACATATCTGTATTCGAATTAAATACGGTGACTTATGGGACGACTTCTGCGCCGTTCTTAGCCATTAGATGTTTAAGGGAATTGGCTGTTGTCAATATGAAGGAGTGGCCTTTAGCCAGTGAAATCATAAAAAGGGATGTATATGTTGACGACTTGTTAACGGGTACAGATTCTATAGAGGAAATTCAAGAGTTGAGTACACAAATAAATTTTATATTACAAACTGCAGGATTTGAAATGCATAAATGGCGATCAAATGATATTCGATCATTACAAGGATTAACTTCTCCAAAGAAAAGTGAGAATATCATGTTAATTCTGGGAGATAGCAAAAATTGTAAAACTTTAGGATTACAATGGGATTGCAAATTAGATGTTTTAACTTTTAATATAAATAAGACAGATTCACTTAATTCTATAACTAAACGTCAGATTTTATCGGAAACGGCTCAAATTTATGATCCGTTTGGACTCTTAAGTCCTTGCACAATTATAGCCAAAACATTTATTCAAAAGCTATGGATTAGTAAAACATCATGCGATGATTCTATTCCAGAACACCTACGTTTGCAGTGGATACAATTTAATGAAAATTTAACTATCCTCAATAATTTACAAATACCACGACACGCTGTAGGTATAGATCACGATGAATTTGAATTGCATGGATTTAGCGATGTTTCTAAGAAGGCATATGCGGCACGTGTCTTTGTACTAACAAAATAGTCCGGTTACTTGTCGTTACTGGACTGATTCCCAAATTGTATTGGCCAGGTTACAAATGAATCCTAAGTCCTAAGAAACGTTTGTTAGTCATAGAGTGTCCGAAATACAGTCGTTAACAGATAAATAGGAGTGGGCAATATTAAGTCAAAATCCCGCAGATTGGGCGAGCATACCTGAATTAAACGTTTTAAATATTCATCGTACATTAAACTAAAATGAATTGTTGCATATTGTCTGAGATTTTTGTCAAATAGCAAAAGAAATAACTTATTAACCAGGCCACTTATCACAAAAGGACTCTTTCCAAAGTGAATTACAGATTTTGAGTTCAGGTAGACAGCTGCCTAGGAAAAACAAGTTACTAAGTCTTACACCGTTCCTTGATCAAGAGAAGATCTTGAGGGAAGGTGGTAGGTTACAATTATCCGTATTTTCATATAATACCAAACATCCTATTTTATTATGTTCTAAGTATACCTTTACTAAACTATTGTTCAGATTCGAACATATCACACAAATGCATTGTGGCCCAATGCAATTATTAGCGAACATCAGACAAAATTATTGGCCATTGACAGGACGAAACCTAGCTCGTAAGATCGTTCATCAATGCTTAAAGTATCTTAAATTTGACGCAAAATTAATGACACCTTTAATGGGACACCTCCCTAAGGAACGTATTTCCATAATGCAACCATTTCAAATTTGTGGAGTGGACTACGCAGGTCCATTTTCACTCAAAACCCTTCCGAGTAGAGGAGGTAAAATTATTAAAGGTTATATTTGCTTCTTTGCATGCTTCGCCAGTAAGGTTTTACATTTTAAGGTAGCCACTGATTTGAGGGCAAAACGATTTTTGGATTCATTTAGACGCTTTTGTGCTAGAAGGGGTAAACCAAGCGAAGTTTATTCCGATAATGGTTTAAATTTTGTGGGTGCTGTGGCGAATACAAAAAACAGAAAACGTACAATTTTGTATATATATATATTTGTATATTAATTTTTCATATTTTTGTACATGTGTAAATATTGTAAACCTTTCGCTTCTTATCTTGTGCATGCCTTTGTTTCTTTTCAAACTAAATTCTATTGTTTCGCTATCGCTATCTTTACCTAGAATTTCATCGTCTTCGATACCTATTTAACAACCCTTATTAATAGCTGGCTTTCCCTCGCTTACTTTTTCTTCGAATTCTATTCTATTCAATTTCAACTAGTCTGTACATGTTCTGTTAATACTTTTCCTTCTAGAATGTTCTCCCTCTATTTACTAACAATCCTGTTGTATAAATACCCTTCAAATTTCCTACTTATTAACCAGTGTTCAGTAACCAGTAACCAGTCTACCTCTTGATAATTCGTAAGTGTTTTATATTGTTATTATTTGTTGTTGTTCTTATGTTGTTTTTGAGTGTTGTTCAGTCTTATTAAACTTTTGTATATATTCTTCATTTGTGTTGTGTTTTGTTTTGTGTTACGTTCCTTTTGGTACAAAAATTATTAGTGCTTTTATTAAAGGCGCTAAAGTGGTGACCCCGATAAAAGTGTAATCAACATTTTACTTTTTGCCAAATTGGACGAACATTGTATAAACATAACTATGGCCACCGAGAAGTGCGTGTCAGAAAGTGCAACGTCCATCGATCGTGTTGCAGTGAAAATGCCAGTTTTTATCCCGTCAGACCCAGAACTTTGGTTCTCTATGTTAGAAAGCAGTTTGGATGCCGCAGGAATAGTTAAGGACAACACGAAGTTCGGGTATGCGTTAAGTGCACTTGACCAAAAATATGCCCTCGAAGTTCGCGATATTATCGTAAAACCAAGCAGTGAACGGACTTATGAACTGCTAAAAAGTGAGTTAATCAAGCGAATGGGTGCATCCCAAGAGCAAAACACCAAGCGATTGCTGGAGAACGAACCACTTGGAGATCGCAAGCCAGTGCAGTTCCTTCGACATTTGCGCAATCTTGCCAGCTGTGAATTCCCCGAGGATGTTCTGCAAACCCTGTGGCTAACTCGCCTACCGAAAATTGTCCAGGCCCTGCTAGCTGCACATAAGGACTTACCATTAGCGAAGAGAGCGGAGATTGCTGACACCATTATGGAAGCGTATGGACAATTTAACAACATTGCCGAAACGTCAACAAAGACTAACACGGTTAACAGCAGATTGGATTTTTTGGAAAATGCGTTAACAACAGCCCTGCAGGAATTAGCCGCAATTAAAATCAACCAGGCTCCTCCACATCAGCCTCGACGTTTTCGAAGAAAATCACGCTCACGTTCACGTTCACAGCCAAGAGGAAAAAGTGACACTTGCTGGTACCATGTGCGTTTCGGGAATAATGCAGAAAGATGTACGAAACCCTGTAACTTCGAAGCCAATTCTCCGGGAAACGACATGGGCAGTCGTTGATGGCGACCAATGACAGCAGCCCTACGCACTCCCGCCGATTATTTATCACCGATGGTTCAACGAAAGTAAGGTATTTAATTGATACTGGAGCCGACCTATGTGTGTTTCCGCGTGCACAACTTCCGCAACCTAGAGAAAAGTCAACCTATGAACTTTCCGCTGCTAACGGCACCATTATCTCAACATATGGAATACTAACTTTGACCCTCGACCTAGGACTTCGACGACAGTTTACATGGCGATTTGTTGTGGCTGACGTTTCGAAACCTATCATCGGCGCAGACTTCCTCTCACATTTTGGGTTATTAGTGGATATGAAGAACAAACGTCTTCTAGACTTAACCACTCATCTCGCGTGCCACGGGAAAGTGATTGAGTGCAAGTCATCATCCATTAAGACTGTTACAGGCTCCTCACCGTTTCATGACCTTCTGCAACAATTTCCGGGAACAACCCGACCAGGAGGCACTCTTACGTATGTAGCCCATTCGACCAAACATCACATAATCACCAACCCTGGACCACCCGTCGCGCAGCGACCATGACGACTTGCTCCCGACAAGATGAGAGCTGCGAAGAAGGAATTTGAGGCCATGGTTCAGTTGGGCATCGCTCGTCCTTCCAAGAGTCCCTGGGCATCACCGCTGCATATGGTCCCTAAAACAGGCGACGAATGGAGACCCTGTGGCGATTATCGCGCCCTCAACGCCAGGACGTGCCCTGACCGGTATCCTGTGAAGCACATCCAGGACTTTTCACAGTCACTAAGCGGGAAAACCATATTTTCGACCATAGATCTGGTACGTGCCTTCAACCAGATCCCAGTTGCCGAACAGGACGTCCCGAAAACCGCAATTACAACATCATTCGGTTTATTTGAGTTCACGCACATGAGCTTTGGTTTACGCAATGCAGCGCAAACCTTTCAACGCTTCATCGATGAAGTTCTGCATGGCCTAGACTGTTGCTATGCCTACATCGATGACATTCTGGTTGCGTCTACGTCGTTAGAGGAACATCTCGACCATCTACGAACTCTATTCGGGAGACTTCAGGAATATGGAGTAATAATCAACCCGTCCAAATGTGTATTCGGCCAGCCGGAGGTCAAATTTCTTGGCTACTTAGTTTCCGGTGCTGGTACGCATCCGTTACCTGATAAAGTGGACG